AATACCAAGTGCAGTTCTATTCAAACCATTATACCATTATTTAGCTTTACCACATAAAGAAAAGGGAAAAAGAATCTCCTTGATTTAGTCCTGCGTGACCCCAGTGATAAGCGTGTCGCGTACCTAAACCTAACTATTCCTACTAACTATGTAGTCGGGCAAGTAAGGGTCGAATCCCAAGAGACTAAGGTTCACCTAAATTATCTAGACTCAAGTAATTACCAAGCAAGAATCAAACAATGGTGGAATAAACTAAAAGCTAATGTATGGAAAACTTAGAATAAATAAAATGAATATAATAAATCAATAAACTAAAACATCCAAGATCAAGTATCACCGCAATTACGATCGATGCAATTATATATCTACCCCTAACATACAATTCCTATTAACATGGGGAAAAGCAAACCCTAACCAATACCAAGGACCTCTCTCGAGTATCAATGGCTTCCCTAACCCACAATCAAGCCTATTCTCATGGTATCATGCAAATTAGAGACATTAAACACTTTACTTCACTTCCCAATTATCAATTCAACTACTCTCGTGATGAATTTCAAACCCTAAATTAATTTACTCAAATCCGTTAAAACCCAACTCTCGTTGTGATTAAAACAATGGAATAATAACAATACTAATTATCCCTAATCTAGTATTGGAATAATCACAATTAAATTAGCATAAACAATTGCAATAGCTATTAGAGAATTTAAAGAATTACTTCATGCATCAATCATAATTGGGCTACCCTAAATCTTGGAATATAAAAACTACTCACACATATTAAAAAAACAATAACAAAAATAATCAAGGAAAGCATAATTAAGAAATAAGTGATGAAAAGAAAATACCAAATCTTGAAGTAAATGGAGAATGTCAAAGTAGAACTTGAATCTTGAATTACAAAAGCGACGTAAAAATAATAGAGAGAACTAGGTTTAATAATAAAAACTAGATGCTAATAAAATACTCCATCCTAAAATAATACAAAGTCTAGAGTATTTATACTCCGAAAAAGATAAGAAAATGCAAAAAAAAAATATCGCGCAGTCTTCCTAAGAGGCACGGACGTGCCTACAAGAGGCACGGACGTGCCTCACATCGAGTGTTAAACTTCAAGTCTTTTGGAATCCAGGCACGGACGTGCCTATATTGGGCACGGACGTGCCTCACATGAAATTTGATGGTAGCAGCAGGCACGGACGTGCCTCTATGAGACACGGACGTGCCTCATATTGAACAAAACTTCTTTAACTTCTGAGATTCAGGCACGGACGTGCCTCGGCTGGGCATGGGCGTGCCTCACTCCAAAAGGGCCCAAATCACTCGTTCTTCGACCAACGAGCTTCGTGAAGGTCCGTGGGCCTCGGTTTAGCCTTATGACTTCATAAAATCTCCAAATTAGCTCCGTTAATCCTGAAATACATCAAAAACAACGAAACTACCTATAAAAGCATCGAATCATCGAAACTAAACCAAATTAAGCCAAAATGAACTAAAATACTAGGCTAAACTAATAATAACAACTAAAAATAGGCTAACAATTATACACAAAACACGGCTTATCACCCAGCTTGTCTGATAATGTTGCAATATTGGCAAAAATCTAAGATGAAAGATTAGGATCTTCACCCTTAGCTCCGCTAAATTGCTTCCTTTTGATCATGGCAATAAACTGGGGGTGAATCTCGAATTGTACTCCCTTGAGATTAGGTGTAGGAGCAAGATGTGGAAAATCCGCCAAGGACGGCTGCGAATAATCGTCGAGCTTGCGAGGTGGTTGAGCCGTCATCTCTTATTCTGGTTCTGAAAGAAGTTCTGAAAAACACGGCTCAAAATGGCTCAACCTACGGGTGAATGTAAAAAAAATAAAAAATTTATGTGGGCCTAAAATGTTGAGGCTCTATTTTTTACAAAGGAAATTTCAATCACTTTTCCGCAACATGCATCATTCAAGTCTCAAATAGTCAAAGAGCAAAACCAAGAATTCAATTATGTGAAGAACAACTAATCACACATGAAAGAATAAGACTGAGTTAGAGTGAAATCAGTCAAAGATGGCTTAAAAATCTCACCGGGTACAAAAAATATTCACATAAGTAGAGCGGGGAGACCATCCTAGCCACAAACCTACTCAATTCCAAGCAAATTGGTAAATGGGTTTTCGAAAAGCTTTTCACAAAGCACACATGTATGATCATTATCATAGAAGCATAAGCGTGTAATGGCATATCAAAGACACTAATAAGAAAGAAAAACTGACCAAACATAAAATAAAAAAAATAAAAAACTAATATATACATGGTGAAAAATGAACCCTCCCCCAAGCTAAACCATACATTGTCCTCAATGTATGCATAAATCAGTGGAAAGTGGACAAGGGGAGAGGGAAACAGGTCTAATGATCGGGAGGGGGAGAATCATACCTCGGGCCGGAGCTAGGACCGCCCTAAAAATGCTGACGCATCATGCCCCCAATATCATAGAACTCAGACTGAAAGGCGGCGATCTGGTCTTTCAAATCACCAAAGGTTGTCGCCATGCTGTCATGGGACATCGATAGGTTTATGACCGCCCTTTGAGTGTCACTGACATCTCTCCTCAGCTCACCCATGTCATGCATAACGTGGGTCAAATCAGTTCTCATGGAGGCAACCTGCTCCTCCAAGGTAGGTGGGGCTTGCTGCCCTGGCTCGGGGATATCCTCTTCCATATGTCCTTGGCCCTACCCCACGGGTAATGGAACAGCCTCTAGATGTTGAGGGGGCCAAATGAAATCAGGGGGGATGATCCAGGTATCCTTTCCAGCGACCGGTGGAATCCCTTCCCATGGGAGAAATGCATAAGGTACGGGCCGGGGTAATGTGGGTCGACCTACAAGCCATTCGTAGCCTTGACCACGACGTCGTCTCCTCACCCAATTCATTTGCTACAGCCCCTGAAAGTTCAGCAGGGTGGGGCCGGCTACCTTATACTCGTCCAAATCTGCAAAATCAGCAATATAACCACTAACAAGCAAGGTAAGCATACCCCAATAGCAATATCCCCACTCCCCATGGCTACATGATATAGATGGTTAATAAACCATGCCCCAGGGTTAATCACCTCCTCATGTTCAGAAGGGTCGGGGTGGTCTAGCAAATGCCACAAAAAATAGAGTTCCTTAGCCAAGCAAACTCCCCCTGTGTTCGATCTAGCAAACAGGGTCAATGAGAAGAGTCTACAGATAAGACGAATGGCTGGGTGGATAATACAGGTGGATTTTGAGTGGCTAGGATCATAGTTATCTAGCCCGGTTAGGTTCCGCCACGTATCGAGATCACTATATCCATCTAACCTATCGTAGTTGGGTCTGCCTAACTGTCCGTATGTGGGGAAACCTAGCAATACATTGACTTCCCTCACCGTAAGGGTGTGGCGCTCTCCAAAACAATTAAATGAGATATCTCTAGGTATGTGTCCATCTGATCTACGGAGGACGGCTAAGGTCGACAGGAACTCGTATGTGATGTTAGAATATGTGGAGGCATGTTTCGTGAGGAATCCATTCCACCCCAAACGGCTAAAAATCCTAGGGATTTCATTACCCATCCCCAAAGTTGAAATGGCCTCTTGGTCATAAAACCTAGTGGGGACAATGGATCGTGTTCGGATTCTTAAAAAGTTTTTCATGTGTTCTTCATTGTTTCCAAAGTTTATTCCGTAGGTTTCTATGGGAGGGAGTTGGGCGGTTGGTTGTGGTGGGGATAAGTTTCTTAGACCCGATGTGGATGTGTTCCTTGGGCGATTTCATCTAGGGTTAGAAGAAGAAGCCATGATTCACAACACCACAACAAAATTTGTAATTCAAGCACAAGAATCAACCAACTATACTACCACAAAAGTAGGGACTTCACAATTTTCCACAATATTGAACAAGATTCAATAATGACTCCACAACTATACTATCACCAATGTTCAAGCACAATCATCCAATAGCAAAATAAGCAAAGCTCAATCACAAACAACTTACTCAAGCAATTTTATGAAGATTTTTTTACAAATTAAGCATGAAAAACTTAGAGAGAGAAAGTGTATGGAGAGAGTATACCCAAGGTGTGGTGGGTGTCAAATACCCGCAAATGATCCAGTATTGCAACTTGAAACATGTAGGAAGGTATCTTGGTCACCCAATTGCTTCAAAATCACCACAAGTGAAAACCCCCAATTTGATTTCAAAACCTAGGGTTTAAGTAATTTTTTGAGGATAATGGGGTTTAATTGTGGTTTTGATGACAATGGTGTGTGTAGGTGGAGTAGAAAGGATGAAAAAGTGAAGATCTTGGTGAAGTTGAGAGTGGGCAATGGGGGAAATTGAAGGATTTCGAGAATTTGGAGCTTGAGGGGAGAAGGGGGATGCGTGGAGAAGGAGGAGAAGGGGAATGAATGGGCACGGGCACGAGCACGAGCGTGCTTTCTTATTACCAGGGAGACACGGATGTGCCTCTATGGGAGGGGCTACATCTGGGCTGATATGGGCTAAGGCACGGACGTGCCCCTGAGAGACACGGACGTGCCTCTGAGGCAGAGTCTTCACTTCGCTTCTTCAGTATGAGGCACGGACGTGCCTCTTTTAGGCACGGACGTGCCTATTATGTAGACTGCAGTTCGCTTTTTTTTTTTTTTTACCTGCATTAAGAGAGAAAAATAAAATAAAATAAAATAAATGAGAACACTAATAACTAAAACTAAAATCAAAATAAAATAAAATAAGAATAAAAACCAAGTAAAAGAAATTCGAGAATGGGTTGCCTCCCATTTAGCGCTTGTTTATAAGGTCTTTAGCTCGACCGTAGTGATAGCTCAGCCTGGGTCACCACACGAAGAAGGAACTCCGCAATGTTGCCCATGAAAATATCTGCTTCCAAGTGACTCCTTCATTTTATAATTGACCTGCCTTGTATCCGAACTCACCTTCATGTGGCCAAACACATCATTGGATGGGATTTTATCCTCGTTTCTCACGAAATTTCTGTCAAATACATATCAACCAAAGGGTTAGTAGCATTGATTCTTAAGCAAGTACCACCATCCAATATAGAATTATGTTCATTAAAGAGCTTAAACATGACTTGTTTATCCTGGGCCCTAATGGTAACTTGTCCTTTAGGAACATCTATTAAGGCTTGACTTGTGGCAAGAAATGGATGACCAAATATAATTGGGATCTGATGATCTTCTTGCATATCCATGATGACAAAATCAACAGGAAAACCAAGTTCACCCACCGTAACTATTACATCTTCAACCACACCCTTAGGGAGTGTAGAGGTCCTATTAGCCATTTGAAGAGAAATAGAGGAAGGTTTAAGTCCTTGCAAACCTAAATTCTCATACAATGAATAAGGCATTAAGTTAACACTAGCACCTAAATCGCACAAAACCTTGTCGAAAATTTTTTCGTTTATTGTACAGGGAATAGTGAAACTACCAGGATCATGCAGCTTAGGTGGTAGGTTATCATATAAGAGAGTAGGGCCTTTCTTATTTACTACTTCCTTATCCTCATGTTGATCTTTGATATTCTTCACAAAATTCGCAAATTGAGGCATTTGAATTAAAAGATTGGAAAAAGGAGTAGAGGCGTGTACCTTCTGAAGAGCTTCACAGTATTTCCCAAAATGTCTATCAAGCACGACCCTTGATAACCTTTGCGAGAAGGGCATCGGTTCCTCATAAGCCGCTGGAGCAACATATTTGGAACCTTGAGCATCTTTACCCTTTTTCATCTTTTCTAGACTCCACACTGCACACTTTCTCATCTATTTGCCTCGGAGATGATTCATCTCTTCTCAAGAAAACTGCATTGCATTGTTCTTTTTGGACCTTTGCTTGATCATGAAGAGTTGATAAACGACTCACCTGTTGTGAGAGTTGACTTATTTGGGTTTCCATGAGCTTACTCTGGGCTTGCAACTGTTGGATGGAGCTACCTTGTTGTTGGATGGCACTGTTAGTTGTGGTAATGAAGCTCTCCATCATCAACTCAAGGCTAGATTTTTGGGGAAGTAGTTGCGTTGGTTGTTGGTTCATAGGTGGTCTTTGTTGGAAACCGGGTGGTGAGTTGTAGTTGTTGGGTAGGGGTGGTTGTGATGGTGGATTCTGTTGTGCTTGGGTGTTCTTATAAGAGAAGTTGGGATGATGTTTCCAACCTTCGTTATAAGAATTGGAGTAGGGATCAAAAGGCTTTTTGGGGTTCAAAGAGTAGAGAGCATTAGCTTGTTCAATAGACATCTCACTCATGTTTTGCGGGCAATCAGGTGCGATGTGGCCCTGCACATTACACATTTGACAAACCTCCTGGGGGCTAGTTAAAGTTCCAGCTTGGAGCTTATCAAACCTGCTTGTTAGTGCCTGCACAAAACTGGCTAACATAGTCAAAGCATCTACATCAAGCTTACCTCCTTTTTTCACATTCTGACGACCTCCTGGATGATAATTATCATTGGCCGCCATCTTCTCAATCAGCTCCTTTGCCTCAGTTAGGTTCTTTGTCAAGAGAGAACCCCCTGATGCAGCATCAATGTAGATTCGGAACTCATGGGTTAGAATATTATAGAAGGTTTGAATCAACATCCATTCAAGAATACCATGGTGAGGGCATTGCCTCTGCAATCGCTTAAATCTCCTCCATGCTTCATAAAGGGACTCGTCATCTGACTACCTGAAGGTAGATAATTCGTTTCTTAGCCTTGTAGTCTTTTCCTGTCCCAAGAACTTGACCAGGAAAGCTTTCACTAGCTTATCCCATGTATCAAACGAGCCAGTGCCTTCATCTCTCAACCATTCTTTTGCCCTATCCCGTAGTGAAAAAGGGAAAAGGCGAAGTCTGATAGCATCATCTGTAACACCATTCATTTTCATAGTATCACATTTCTCCAGAAAACTATCAATATGACTTACCGGACAATCATGCGGTAGTCCTGCGAATGAATCATTGGAGATAAATTGAATGAATTGTGGCTTAAGCTCGAAGTGCTGAGCCATCACAGGTGGCCTGACAATGCTAGAAAGGAGTCCGGTAGTTGTATCAGGGATACCGTACTCCAAAAGAGACTTCGTGCCTTGGTCTACCATGTTTCTCCTACGTCGATTCCTTGTTCTCCTTCTCCTTATAGTTGCCTCGATCTCAGAGTCAAATGGTACAAGATCTTCTGACCCTGATCGTCGTGTGGGCATGCAACAAGAAAACTAGAGAAAGAATATCAAAAACACAAGAGAAAATAGCCGAAGCAACGAAATAAGCCTAGCAAAAATGAATCACAAATAATTGAATGAAACCGTTAGTCCCCGGCAACGGCGCCAAAAAATTTGATAGGCGTGTCGCGTACCTAACAAAAATAACCTAACTATTCCACCTAACTATGTAGTCGGGCAAGTGAGGGTCGAATCCCAAGAGACTAAGGTTCACCTAAATTATCTAGACTTAAGTAATTACCAAGCAAGAATCAAACAATGGTGGAATAAACTAAAATCTAATGTATGGAAAACTTAGAATAAATAAAACGAATATAATAAATCAATAAACTAAAACATCCAAGATCAAGTATCACCACAATTACGATCGATGCAATTATATATCTACCCCTAACATACAATTCCAATTAACATGGGGAAAAGCAAACCCTAACCAATACCAAGGACCTCTCTCGAGTATCAATGGCTTCCCTAACCCACAATCAAGCCTATTCTCATGGTATCATGCAAATTAGAGACATTAAACACTTTACTTCACTTCCCAATTATCAATTCAACTACTCTCGTGATGAATTTCAAACCCTAAATTAACTTACTCAAATCCGTTAAAACCCAACTCTCGTTGTGATTAAAACAATGGAATAATAACAATACTAATTATCCCTAATCTAGTATTGGAATAATCACAATTAAATTAGCATAAACAATTGCAATAGCTATTAGAGAATTTAAAGAATTACTTCATGCATCAATCATAATTGGGCTACCCTAAATCTTGGAATATAAAAACTACTCACACATATTAAAAAAACAATAACAAAAATAATCAAGGAAAGCATAATTAAGAAATAAGTGATGAAAAGAAAATACCAAATCTTGAAGTAAATGGAGAATGTCAAAGTAGAACTTGAATCTTGAATTACAAAAGCGACGTAAAAATAATAGAGAGAACTAGGTCTAATAATAAAAACTAGATGCTAATAAAATACTCCATCCTAAAATAATACAAAGTCTAGAGTATTTATACTCCGAAAAAGATAAGAAAATGCAACAAAAATATATCGCGCAGTCTTCCTAAGAGGCACGGACGTGCCTACAAGAGGCACGGACGTGCCTACAAGAGGCACGGACGTGCCTCACATCGAGTGTTAAACTTCAAGTCTTCTGGAATCCAGGCACGGACGTGCCTATATTGGGCACGGACGTGCCTCACATGAAATTTGATGGTAGCAGCAGGCACGGACGTGCCTCTATGAGACACGGACGTGCCTCATATCGAACACAACTTCTTCAACTTCTGAGATTCAGGCACGGACGTGCCTCGGCTGGGCATGGGTGTGCCTCACTCCAAAAGGGCCCAAATGACTCGTTCTTCGACCAACGAGCTTCGTGAAGGTCCGTGGGCCTCGGTTTAGCCTCATGACTTCATAAAATCACCAAATTAGCTCCGTTAATCCTGAAATACATCAAAAACAACGAAACTACCCATAAAAGCATCGAATCATCGAAACTAAACCAAATTAAGCCAAAATGAACTAAAATACTAGGCTAAACTAATAATAACAACTAAAAATAGGCTAACAATTATACTCAAAACACGGCTTATCACCCAGCTTGTCTGATAATGTTGCAATATTGGCAAAAATCTAAGATGTGAAGATTAGGATCTTCACCCTTAGCTCCGCTAAATTGCTTCCTTTCGATCATGGTAATAAACTGGGCTTGAATCTCGAATTGTACTCCCTCAAGATTAGGTGTAGGAGCAAGATGTGGAAAATCCGCCAAGGACGGTTGCGAATAATCACTGAGCTTGTGAGGTGGTTGAGCCGTCATCTCTGATTCTGGTTCTGAAGGAAGTTTTTTGTCACTAGAATCGGATGGGAGTTCCAAAGGTGTATTACCCTCGGAAGTAACTCGTACCTGTCTAAAAAGGTTCTTCTGTCTATGAAAAGAACATTCGATTTCAAGATCGAATGGAATGTATCCTGATCTAGAACTCCTGGGCATACACACAGAACTAAACATTTATAAATTAACCTGTCTATTGAAACTAAGCCTAAATATTTAATTCTCATCTCTCGAATCTCGAATCAATATTGCGTAACTCATACAATTAAACAAGCGCTAATCTAATTGCATAGCAGTAAACCAATCAATAGGAATTTAATCTGAAACATTAACAATCATCAATAATAAATTACCCCTTCATATTATTTATGGATCCCCATAAACCCTAGTATGAAACTACTCACACATAATTAAATCTAAACTAATTAAAGCAATTAAACAAAGCATATTAAATCAAAGCAATTAAATTACTGAAAATAAAGGGGGAAGAAATCGTTACCAAAATAAACGGAAATGATGAATTGTATAAATCAAAAGTGTAGGGAGAAAACAAGAGTATTAACTAAAAGCTAAACTAAAAACTAAGAATTTTTCTAATGAAAAACGTAATCACTTCCTAAAACAAAAACGTATTTAAACTTAGGCTTAAAAATCCTAACTAAAGAAAAATACCAAAATTCCCCTTAGAAAACACGCGCTCGGTAGGGCAGAAATTCACCTTGCCGGGCGCGCCTTTTTGTTCATATCTTCTTCACTCGCGCCCGGTCGGGCGAGCTCTTCGAGCAACCATGGACATCTCAATTGGGCTATTTTCTTGGCCCAATTCGAATTTCCTCTTGGGTCTTGAAACACGGTCCATTGCCTCGAACTCTTCTTCTTCGCCGAGCCCTCATTCACTGGTTTGATTGCTCTAACGGCGGCCTTGGGCTTCGGAATGTGGTCATAATTCTCCAACGCTCGTAGTGGATTATCGTAAGTCCGGGAAAATGCTCCAAATCTGCAATTTCCTATAAAACAGTACCAAAACTACGAAAACACTAGAAAACGCATATTAGTAATAAAAGTGGCTCCAAAGAGCCAATAATACTCCTGAATATGACCAAGGGACGGGGGTAAATCTCTATGTATAATGAACATATCAGACGCCTTCGCCAAAGATCAGCAGCACTAGGCCTTCCAAGCAAACATTTACTAACGAGGAATTGCCATCGGTCACCCCACTAACAAGAGTTGTTAAGTCGAAGAAACATATTTAATTAACTGAAGACCTCATCATGTGTTACTTTCTCACATAGTTAGCTAAGGAACCCACTACAATGTCCAAATAATTGCGAAACACAAGTACTAAATGCAGTACAAAATAACCTAAATGCAAAAAAGATAAAAAACTTAAAAAAAAAAAAAAAAAAAAAAAAACTCAAACAACCAAATTGCCCTTGAAATAATTATAACCCCCAATCTATTTCTTCTTATATCTGTTGTTAAGGAGTATTCTCAAATCATGAAATGCAGCTAATCAACAGTGATCTTCTTCCCCATGTAAGGGATAATTTATGCTCTATGACAATCTACATACACTCATGGTTCATAGTAGTTTTATGATATGTGATGTGGACATGTGGTTCTCCATATCATCCTATATTAATCTTGTTCTTTTCGATACTTGAAAATTGAAAAAGAAAATTAAAAGCGTATCGTTACCGTCTTCTCCATCCGGTAGTTAGCTTCGACTTCTAGCCAAAGGAACCAGTAACTTTGGCCATGTATTAACTCCTCCATTCCTAATTACTATCATTGGATATTAGTAATGGTAGTCGAAGACAATTACGGCAGGAGAAGATGATAGTATAGTGCCATGATTTTTAAAACAAATTTGAACATATTAGAACATAATCTGATATCTTAATATGAATTTGAAGTATTATTTGCTCATTTGTTGATTAAATGAGCAAATGACGTCGGGTGTACGGTACACCCGGGTGTATATAACAAATCAGCAGGTTTTGTGTGTGGCTGGCCACACGGTGTGGCCAGCTACCACACAAGTAACCCCTAACTAACCTAGTAACCCCTGACTGAGTAACCCCTGCACGACCTTATAACCCCGCACCTACCTCGTAACCCTTGACCTAGTAATCCCTCCGACCTAGTAACCCCTGACCGACCTAGTAACCCCTGACCGAGTAACCCCAAAACAAATTTAAGGAAACCTCCAAAACTCCCCTGCTCCACCTCTAAACAACAACAGCCTTGCAACACCCTCACAACCACCACCAAACAAGTAGCACTCGAACCACCCAAGGACCACTGTGCCTAGCACTAATACCCGTCACAAGAAAAATACATAACAAGTAAAAAAAATCAACCAATACCCAACTTAATTACAACCCCAAAAAAAATTTCATAATGGATCACCTAATTCTAATCTCTTACTTAGTCAAATAATGATGAGAGAGAAAATCACATACTCAACCATCTTATGCTTAAGGATGGCACTTCGATCAAGAACGTTCATGGCAACACTTTCACCA